CCGGCCTCCTCGTCACCCATGGCGTCGTCGTCACCACTGACGGGGATGCCCTGGGCCCTGAGGAAGCTGTCGAAGAACTCGGGCTTGCCGAAATGCTCCCAGAAGGCCGCATCTGGCACGCCAGGCACACCAGCACCAGCAGGAGGAGACTGCTCCTGTTGCTGCTGCTGCTGCTGCTGCTGCCGCACAGCCTCGGCCTCCGCGTCGGCGCGCTGTTTGTCCATCTGCTGCTTGACAAGGTCAGCAATGGGCTTGAGCGCGGCGGCTGCGCCAGGCAGCATGTCTGAGAGGGAGGCGGCGAGGGACTGCAGCTGCGCGAGCGGGTCAGCGGCGGCGGCTGCGCGGCCGCCGACGGCTGCGTAGGCAGCGGCAGCTTTGCTGGCGGCCTCGTCTGCCTTGGCCTTGCACTCAGCCAAGTTGGTGGCGCACTGCTGCATATACTGCATGGCTTTGGCCGCCGCAGCCGCTGCCTTGTCGTACTTACTCTGGGCCTGCTCGAGCTTCTGCTGAATGGCGTCAGACGCCTGGCGAGCAGCACGAGCTGTGGGAAGCACATCACCGTTGGAAAGACTGCGAGCCGCGGCAACTCGAGCCAATTGCTTTGCAGACCACCCTTGAGACACGATGGCATAGTCTGCGAGATCCATCTTGGCATACACCGCAACGAGCTCCTCAGACAGGACGGGCACAGGAGGAGCGGAACGAGGAGGCCCGTCCTTCCACCTGCCTGCGGGTGCACGCTGTGCTGCGACTTTCGGCTTGTGGGGCTCAGTGCCACAGATGCGACAGCTGCTCCGCCACTGGAAATTGCCTTTGTAGCCGCACCGTGCGTTGGTACACGTCCAATTGTGAGCACCTTTGCCATCCATGTCGTGCCGGGGAACGTGACAGGGAGAGCAAGAGGCACTTGCTCCGACAGGAGCTCACAAAACGCGGAAAACCTCGTCTGACCAGGCAAACGAGGGGCACTGTGGGGGCCGCTGCTCCCCCTTGCCAGTGAGGCCAGGTCCTGTGCCAAAACGGCTACGGACTTGAGCCAAAATGGCTACGGACTCGCATCCCTCCTCCTCCTCCTCCTCCTCCTCCTCAGCCTCCAAGCCCCTGGGCCCAAGGGACACAGACTCGGGCTTGTCGGGCGGAAACATCGCACCTTCGGTTTCTGCCATCGCTCCTCGCCCACCCCATGTTCGCGAGGGTCCTCTGCTGGTGGGGATTCATGTCTGAGCTTTCGCTTCGAGTTCTCGGCTACAATCCCATGTGGGCGACTGGGGATCGCCTCAGTGAGATCTTGGATGAGACCAGAAACTATGACGTGCTCCTGTTGGCGGGTACGAAGTCCAATACGCCCCTCCGCGGCGCGCAGGCACTGCGGCGGTGGGCGGACGGGCGGCTGCAGTACGAGGCTCCCTACAGCGAGGCTCCGTATTCTAACAACAGCTGCGGGACCCTGGTGGCCTTTGGACCTCATTTTCGGGAAGAAGATGTAAAGCAGATCTGGGGCAGTCCTGAGTTGGCCCCTGGACGGGCCCTTGCTGTTCGGGTAAAACACGGTCCTGCTGATCTGTGTGCCGTCTGCCTCTACTACCCGCCCATCCCCTCCAAGTCTCGTAACAAGAAGCGTGCTGGGTACTTCCAGACAGTGAAGATTCTGAACTCTTGGCTGGATTCGGTTCTGGGGAGTCTTCCTGTGCGGTGTGTTCCGTTTGTGTACGCGGACATCAACGACGGCTTGGGGGGGCGGATGCACAAAGGGTCTTTCCAGGACTTCGAGAGTAGTGCTGTTGGGACCTCTACTGTTGAAAAGCTTCCTGGGGGAGCTGGCGAAGGTTTTCGGGAGCTTCTGGAGCGTCATCATATGTTTGCTGCAAATACCCGTTCTCGGGTGGAAATGACGTTTTTCGGCAACCACAGCTCTAGTCGCATAGATTACGTTTGTCTTCCTCGGGGACTTCTAGATCAGGTGACTCACTGCAACCCCCTCCGAAAGCTGGGGGCCAAGTTCCAGCCGATCAAAGGTGCACCCCCTCGTGATCACCTCCCAGTGTCGCTGAGCTTGCGATATAATAAAGGCGGGCAATTGCGTGCTCCAGATGATCGTCGAAGATGGAATCATGATGTGATGATGGAGAGTCTTCGGAATGGGAAGGGGAGGTGGGATTTTATTAGGGACTTGAATGTATCAGCGTCGGCGGCAGATATTGTATACCTACGAGACCATGCTCCTCCCGATACTATTTTTGAATTTCTGGAGGCTTCTCTGGTGAGTGCAGGTGAACAACACTTCCTTAAGGACAACTCGATTCGACCCGAACGTGCGATGGAGTGTCGGCGTCGTCGTGAGTTGCTTCGGCGTCGAGTCGAGCTTCGGGGGCAGAAATTGAAAGCTACGGTGCAGAGATCGGGCACCGTGATGGCTGTCACGGAGTCTGCGCTTGAGGTTTTTTGCGAGGAGGTTGATGCAGAGTTGAAGAAGCTCTCGTCGGAGCTCCAGCGTGAACAGCGTCGTTGTCTGCGTCGGCACAGGGCCCGCCTTGTAGAAGAAGCTGCAGAGTGCTGGCAAAGACGTAGAACTGCGGAGGCTATGACAGCATCTAGGCGGGCGGCTCGCTGTCGGTTCGGGCCGAAGCGAAGGGATGCCCGCCTGGCTTGCAGTTCTCTCCCAACTTCTTCTGAATGGTTAGATGTATGGCGCCGTCCAGGTGCTGAAGGGGGGATGCAGGTGGAGACGCTTGAGTGGGATCGATGGAGACTCGATCGGGAGGGACCTAGTTACGACTACGACCCTGCTGACACTGAATCGGTGGAGGCCGCCTCCCAGGACCTAAAGGATCTCCGTAAGTACATGGTTTCCGCCCCGAAGCGTAAGACTGTTCCTGAAGGCACAGCGCCACTGGAGTTGTGGCATATGGCTCTTTTCCCCAAGTGGCGGGTGCAGGGCAAGTTCGGTTTCGGTCTAGATACATCGCCGCCTGATAATAGAACGTTTTGGTTCCTCTTGTCCGTGGGGTTGCAAAAGGTACGACGGCATCAACTTACACCCCTCTATTGGCACAAAAGCCAAGCTGCTGCACTTCATAAATCGCATAAAGCAGGACCTCTCGGGAAGCGAGTTGTGCATATCCTCCCGGCGGTGGGGAAGGGTTTCTACGCTAAGAAGATTCGTCCATCCCCCACGGTGCAGGACCACGGCTTTGTGTCGGGAAGGAGGAGGGAGGAGGCGGTGATGATCTCGATGAACACAATGTGGAGGATGAGGGCAGCGAGTCGTACGCATTGCGCATGCTTTAAAGATTTATCGAACGCTTTCGCGAGCACTACTCATGATGAGATGGATTCCTCGGTTGTCCTCCACTGCCACGAGCACAACGTTGAGCTATGCAAGCAACGTTATCATAACTCTGTAATTGTACTTCCGTCCAGCACGGGTGAGTTGGTGGTTAGGCCGAGGCAGGGTGGTACAATGGGGGACCCGTTCATTGTCACTATGTTCTTGAACACGTTTACCCGTCCCATCCTGTCTTGGGGCCTTGATTCGGTAAAGGAGGATATGTGTGCGAAGGAGCTTGTATCGGCCTGGGGCGACATCAGGGCAGACCTCTCTCTAATGAAGTATGCCGACGATTTGCATAAGTTCGTCCTGGCCAGCCCGAACACTACCTTGGGTCAATTCCTTCAGAAGCTAAGTTTGTCTGATGATTTGCTGAACACACATCTTCTTGAATATGGTTTCGGGCAAAACATGAAGAAGCAAGAGTTTATGTTCTTTTTTTCTGCGGGGGGTCATACCAGTCGTCAATATATCCGTGATCATCCGGAATCTCTCTCGGGCACGGCTCGTGATGCTGTGCGCTACTTGGGCCCGCACTTGGTCATGCGAGACACCGCTTCTCACGAGGTGGATCGACGTTTGCAGGCAGCGCGAGTTTCCTTCCACAGTTTGGGGGGCGTGCGGTCGCTCCCTCTCCCTTATCGCTTCACTCGCCTTCTGCTCATTGGCTTCGCGCAGAACACTATCTTGAGTGGCATGGAGGCTTTTATCCTTAGTAAGAACGACTACGACAAACTAGACAGGGGTCTGGCGGCGATGGGGAGGATAGCTATGAGGGGGAAGGCGTGCACGAGGGAGGAGGACAAGATTCGGAGTATGAGTACATCACAGGTTCTGAGTTTTTGGAAGCTGGCCCCTAGCAGTATTGAAATGTCCGTACGACGCCTTCGACTTTATCAGGGATGGGCTCGTGATTATAAGAACCATGTTCAAGTTTTATGCTCTCTATTTGGTGAAATGCCCCTGGATAAACATCGGCCTCAACTCCTCGGTGGGGGCCCTACGCAGTACTCATCGCCCTGGGTCCGACAAGTAAGAGATGATCTGGTTTCCGCTTCGAAGATTATAGAAAATGGGGACTTGGAGGATCTGGCTGGTGACTTACGCTTGTTTAAGGATGCGGACATCGCGGCGGGGTTCGCAGCTTTGGATGTTTCTCAGATTCGAGCACGTTGTTTTTCCACGATGATCGCGCCTCCAGGTGACAACTACACAAGATCTAGTCATTTGGGGGCTTTGAATGAAGGTGGTCCTGAGAGTCTCGGAGGGTCTAGCGGTTCCGAGGTCGAGGGCTTTTTCTCCTGCGAGATTCTGAAAGAAGATGGATGCGTCTGTGGGGAGGCTTTTTCTTCACGCAGTAAGCTTATGAATCACATGAGGCGGGTGCACGGCATCCGCAACCTGGCGCACGTCCTTACCCCGTCGAATTTGTGCACTGTCTGCCGCCAAGTCTTCGCCTGTACCTCAAATGCGGGCCGCCACTTGCAGGGATCGATGGAGAGAGGCCATTGTATGACACGAGGTCCGTCGACCTTTCAGACGGTGGCTACTGTTCCGAAGTCCTTGGTTTGCCCTGTTTGCCATTATGAAGGCTCGAGCTTGGACGACTTGTGTACCCACCTCACCTCGCACATCCCAGTGCCGATTGAAACCTCGTTTCAGACAAGCAGCCATGGGCAGCGCCGAGGACAGGATGGTGCTCGAATCTCCTGCGTGGTTCAAGGGGATCAAGCGCAAGGCCGAGGGCGAGGAGGGCAACACCACCCAGGACGGCAAGGACGGCAAGGGCGGCAAGGACGGCGGCAAGGACAAGGCCAAGACGCTCAAGCAGGGCGGCGGCGCGCCGATGAAGCTCATCACACTCATCGCACAGCTTCTCATGAGCGTCACCCGCGAGGTGGCCGAAATCTCGTCGACGGTGTTCGTGCGCTACGTCATTCTCGCTGGCGGCGGGCTCGCGTCGGCCCTCATCATGACGGGGAAGTCTTACGACCAAGAGAGCCAGCGCCTCCGCCAGCGCAAGCAGAAAGGAGAAGAAGTAGATTTCAAAGCCCGCGGCCCACCACACATCCAGATCGCAGCGGCAGCAGCCTGGTACGGGGCCGATCGGACCATCGCCATCGGGGAAGAGCAGCAAATGAAGGAGGAAGAAATCAACAAGCAGAAGTTCATCAGCCTGTGGCAGAACTACGTGAAAGGAGCCTCGGTCGCCTTGATGTCACGCTCCGTCCCGTATTTCCGCCTCAAGCTTCAGAAGAAACCAGAGGGCGAACCGCAGAAGGCCACGCTTCTGATGAGTTTCTCGTGGGAGACTCCGCTGGGGAAGGCCATGGGGGAGGCAATGGAGGAGCTTCTGAGCCTCGAGGGAGCGAGTTATCTTCCAGGGCCGGCCCCGAAGGGGCCATTAGAGCGCGAGATCAGCAAACTGATAGGCAACGGCGCATGAGGGAGGCACTTGGACGATCGGATCGGCTTCGAGAACTGATCGATAGGGGAGTGGTTGCCCCTGATGCTCTAGGCACGTTACAGAATCGAGTGCACACGTATGCGCATGAATCACTTCCAAACACACCTGTAATTTTCCTGCCCCAGCCGCAGCCTTCTGAGGGAGGGGGACGGGGTCGTGGTCGTGGGAGTGGGTGGGGTCGTGGGCGGGGAAGGAGGAGAGAGGCTTGAGGCACCTCACGCCTCTAGAGCCCGCCTCGCCGAGCCTGCTGCGTGCGGGCCTGAGTGCGGGCCATGGGCCAGTGCTGCCTGGCGCAGAGCGCGGTGGAGGACCGCGCTACTTTTCTCGGTGGGTTTCGGATGGAACCATCTCAGAATCCTAACTTTGCTAAGCAGTCAGCTCCTTTGGCAGGCAATGCAATTCGAGGTGGCTTCGATTGACAGGATTCCATGAGCTCATTCATTCATTCATTCCTCAGCCTCCTCCCTCTCCTCCACTCCTCCTCCTCCTCCTCCTCCTCCTCCTCCTCCTCCTCCTCCTCCTCCTCCTCCTCCTCCTCCTCCTCCTCATTTGAGATCAGCATCAGCAGCAGCAACCACGTCATCATCAGCAGCAGCATCGTCAACATCAGCATCATCAGCAGCATCCACATTAGGATAAGCATCGTCATCACCACATTCATCAACATCAAAGTCACCATCATCATCATCATCATCACCACCACCACCACCACCACCACCATCATCATCATCATCAACATCATCATCATCATCATCATCATCATCATCATCATGATCATCATCATCATCATCAGCATCATCATCATCTTCAGCATCATCATCAGCATCAGCATCATCAACATCAGCATCATCATAATCAGCATCATCATCATGATGAGCATCAGCATCAAGAGCATCATCACCATCGTCATCGTCATCAGCAGCAACAGCAACATCAGCATCAGTATAGTCATACTCATTATCAGCAACCACAGCATCATCGTCATCATCAGCATCATCAGAATCACCATAATCATCAGCATCATCATCATTACCATCATCAGCATCATCACCATCATTGCTGTCATCATCCTCAGCATCATCATCATCATCATCATCATCATCATCATCAGCAGAGGCAGCACCATCATCAGCAGCAGCATCAGCATCATCACCAGCATCAGCGATGACAGAATCATCGATAGCATCATCAGCATCATCAGCATAATCATCATCAGCATCACCACCACCACCACCATCATCATCATCATAATCAGCATCATCATCATTATTATAATCATCAGCATCATCAGCATCAGCAGCAGCATCATCATCCTTCATTGTCTGAATCACCACCATCCTCATCACCCTCAGCCGCATCAGCATCAGCATCAGCATCAGCATCGTCATCGTCATCAGCATCATCATCAGCATCATCGTCATCAGCATCATAATCAGAAGCAGCATAAGCAGCATCACACTCATCATCAACAATATATTTCCCGACATCAGAATCATAATATACATCCTTCGCATCCTCATACTGCTCCTCATCATCAGCCTCCTCATCCCTCGTCCTCGTCCTGCACCTCCTCACTCCTCAATGTCTCGTCCTCCCCCTCCTTATCCTCATCCTCCTCCTCGTTCTCTTCCTACTCATTCCCCTCATCCATCCCCCCCCCCGCCCCCATCCTCCGTGTCCTTCCCCTTCCTCCTCCGTCTCCCTCTCCTCGTCCACCTGCCTCCTCCTCTGCCTCCCTCATTATTCTCCTCCTCACCCGCCCCATCAATCCTCTTCCTCCTCCTCCTCCTCCTCCTCCTCATCCTCCCCATCCTCCTCCCCTCGCCCTCCTCCTCCTAATGCTCCTCAATCTCATAATCATCGTCCTCCTTCTCATCTTCACTCTTCACTCCTCCCTTCTCACCTCTCGGTCCTTACTCCTCGCACCTCCCCCTCCTCCTCATCCTCTTCCTCCGCACTCTCCTCGTCTTCCGCCGCCTTTCAGGACGTTCCACACTGCCGCAGGGTGGCCACACGGCCCAGCAAGAGCCAGACCAACGCGTCAATAACAGAAGTAAGAGGCCCGTCTCTTCGCTCCCTTCCCTCCTCCTCCTCCGCAGAATCCTCCTCCTCCACCTCCTCCTCATCCTCATCCTCATCAGCATCAGCATCAGCATCATCCGCATCATCCGCATCATCATCAGCATCATCATAATCACCCGCATCATCATCATCGTCGTCATCTTCATCATATTCATCATCCGCATCACCATCAGCATCAGCATCGGCATCATCATGATCAGCATCAACATCATCGTCATCAGCATCATCATCATCAGCATCATCACCATCGTCATCAGTACCATCATCACCAGCATCCCCCTCCCCCTCCCTGCATCACTCCCGTCCTCCATCCTTATTCCTTCAGTCTCGCCCCCGGCGTGTATCAGCCTCCCCCCCTCGCAGCACGTCCTCCGCACCCCGCATCCGCTTTCCCCCGCCCTTGTCCTCATCATCCTCATCATCATCATCAGCATCATCATCAGCAGCAGCATCATCATCAGCATCAGCAGCATCATCAGCAGCATCATCAGCATCATCGACCTATTCATCCTCATCAGCATCATCATCGGCAGCAACATCAATACCATCATCAACAGCATCAGCAGCCTCATCATCCTCATCAGCAATATCATCATCGACAGTCGCGGCATAATAGGCATCATCAGCGGCATCAGCATCAGCAGCATCCTCATCAGCATCAGAATCATCAGCATCACCAGCACCAACACCACGAACAGCAGCATCAGCACCCGCAACACCATCAGCATCAGCAACATAAACATCAGCATCGCCATCATCAGAAACAGCGTCAACATCATCAGCATCCTGATCCCCATCATCATCATCATCATCATCATCATCATCAGCAGCATCATCATCATCATCATCAGCCGCAGCAGCAGCAGCAGAAGCATCCTCAGCAGCATCATCATCATCATCATCAGCAGCAGCATCGGATAAGCATCTTCATCATCATCAGCATCAGCCGCAGCAGCATCACCATCGTCAGCATCAGCGGCAGCATCGCCAGCATCATCATCAGCATAAGCCTCATCATCATGGTCGTCAGCATCATCCGCATCATCATCGTCATCAGCTGTATCCTCATTATCGATATCATTAGCAGTACCATCATCACGACCGTCATCATCTTGACCGTCGTCATCATCATCAGCATCATCCGCATCATCAGCATCCTCACCATTATCATCATCGCCATCAGCGACAGCAGCATCATCAGCAGCATCATCATCAGCATCATCATCATCAGCATCAGCATCAGATTCATAAGAATCATCGTCATTCGCATCATCAGCATCACCAGCATAAGCATCAGCGTCATCATCGTCATAACCACCACCAGCAACAACAACCAACATCAGGAACGCCATCCACATCATCAGCAGCGGCCTCATCAGCATCAGCATCAGCATCATCGTCAGCATCAGCAGCATCATGGGGATCATCAGCATCAGCAGCAGAACCATCATCAACGTAATCACCAGTCTAATCAGCAGCAGCATCATCAGCATCAATATAATTAGAAGCAGCCGCAACAGTCGCAGCAGCATCTTCATCCTCATCATCAACAAAAACAACAGCACTATCATCATCATCAGCATCATCATCAGCATCATCAACGTAATCATAAGAATCATCATCAGCAGCAGCATCATCATCAACACCACCACCATCGGCATCATCAACATCAACAGTACCATCAGCATCAGCAGCACCAGCATCACCGCCAACAACCTCATCAACACCATCGTAAACATCAACGCGTCAGCACCATCAACAACAACACCAACAACAGTATCATCATCAGCAGCAGCAGCGGCAGCACCATCATCAGCACCGCCATCAGCCGCATCACCATCATGATCTTCATCCTCGTCATAATCCTCATCCCCCATCATCCTCCTGCTCATCGTCCTCCTCCTGCTCCGCCTCCTGACTCCTTCTCCTCCTCCGCCTCCGCCTCCGCCGCCTCCTCCTCCGCCTCTTCCCGAACTTTCAAGACTTCCACCGGGTTATCACACGGCCAAGCAGGCCAGGTTAAGGCGGAGTCTTCTTGTTGGACAATGATAACGGGACAGGGACAGAAGCCGGTGGCATTTCTCATCGTCCCCCTCCCTCCTCCTCCTCCTCCGCCGCCTCCTCCTCCGCCTCCTCCTCCTCCTCCTGCTCTTCCTCCTGCTCCTCCTCCTTCTCTTCTCCCTCCTCCTTCTGCCACGTCATGTCTCAGCCTCCGCCCCCCCACCACCACCCCTCACTCGTTTCGCATCCCTCCTCCTCCTCCTCCTCCTCCTGCTTCTCCTCCTCCCACACCACTCAATTCTTTTGGACCCCTCTTCCTTATCCTCCTCCACCTGCCCCCTCTCATCCTCCTCCTCCTCCTCCTCCTCCTCCTCTTCCTCCTCCTCCTACTCCAGAGCAGCAGCAGCAGCAGCATCATCATCATAATCAGCATGATCATCCTTGTCCTCATCCTTCCTCCTCATCCTCCTCTTGCTTCTCCTCCTCCTCCTCCTCCTCTTGCTCCTCCTCCGCCTCCTCCCTCCTCGTCTATCGCCCTCCAACTCCTACGCCTCCTCCACTTCCCCCCCCGCCCAAACCTCTTTGTCCCCCCCACCCCCATTGCCCCCCTCATCCTCCTCAACCTCCCTCTTGCCTTCTTTTTCCTTCTAGATAACGCCTCCCTGTCGCACCCCGAGGCCGGTCGGAAGGGCGAACAGGGCGTTTTGCCTGAGACGCCCTCACCACTTATGACCCTGAAGCTTAGACACTGGCAACAGCTTCACAAATGGTAGGCGGGTGGTTTTCAAAATGTGGCTCTCGCCTTAGCACCGCGCACATTCGTTTTTACACATTTGCAAAAGCTTCACGGAATGAGGGCGTGTCGTTTTCAAAATGTGGCTCTCGCCGTGGCGCCG